TCTCGAGATAAGCTGTACCGGTTTGCTGTTTAGATCTGTTGTCCAAAGTGCGACTCAAAGCTTGGCAACTATTCGTGGGGTGGTCGACAGTGTCAAGGCGATCCTGGAGCCAGGTGTATGCAACATGGTAAGCAAGAAGCTACATCAGGAAATAATTAAAAATATTGTATAACACAGAGAGGCACCAAAATTTTATTTCAAAAGAATTCCAAAAGTTCACAAAATTCAAAATTCCAAAAATTCAAAAGTTCCAAAAAGCAAGAATAGGCATGGCAAACACATGCCTGAAGAAGGTGTTATACACCGAAATATCGCGGAAGATTTCAAAGGAATTCTTTTTCAAACTTTTTGCTTTTTGGAATTTTGAATTTTGTGAACTTTTGGAATTCTTTTGAAATAAAATTTTGGTGCCTCTCTGTGTTATGCAATATTTTTAATTATTTCCTGATGTAGCTTCTTGCTTACCATGTTGCATACACCTGGCTCCAGGATCGCCTTGACACTGTCGACCACCCCACGAATAGTTGCCAAGCTTTGAGTCGCACTTTGGACAACAGATCTAAACAGCAAACCGGTACAGCTTATCTCGAGAATGCTGAGCTGTGAGCAAAATGAGATATTATACAAGGAAAGTAGGTCCAAGTAACCATTTGCAGTGAGACAATTACATACTGCCAGGTGCGTTTTCGGACGCTGATATCGAATCTGTCTTGCACGTTTGGGAACAACTCTCAACGAAGATTGAGCAGGGCCAACTGTCCGCAGACCGAATCTGACGTGGAGAGCGTCGTATGCAATTGGAGGGGGGATATTAGGGGTTTGTTCAAAGTTGGACCAGATCGTATTTGGGGAAATTAATTGGGCAGCGGCTGTGGGAGGAGAGCTCTCAACGGATATTGGCGAGAATTTCAGAAAATAAGCGTGAAATAGAAAAAAAGCTGGATTATTTGCCGTCCCTTTAGGGTACTTCCACCCACTCCCACTTCTCTCAAGGGTAGCAAAATGTGGGCGGAGTCGGAATGTATAGACTGATCTCAGAATCATAAGCTATAGAAACCAGGGTGAATATTGCTTGAGGATTCCTCAACGGCACGTCGAGGATTTTCGCCTGATCCTTTACGTTCTCGCGCGCGGATATTCACTCTCGCCACCCGCGAGCCGTCTGTGCTCTCCGCGCGTACATTCACTCTCGGCACTACTCTCGCACAGCAGAGAGCGATGGTCGAGGAATTCCTCGACCGTTATTCACCCTGATAGAAACAGCCATGGCGGTGAGGTGGTTAAGGGGAGGGCGTATTTTTGGGTGACCCACTTCATGTGAAGTTAGGGGAATCACGTTGAATCTTCCTAAAGGGGTGGGGGAAGCTGTGAAATTTTTCATGTCTGGGCTCTAGTTTTAAGAGCTTTTCTTCCACGCTTTAGGTAGCATGGATGGGTTGCAGCATGCTCCATGAGTTAGCAGAAAATCGTGCTTGACAGCCAAATTACCACACGGACTTATTCCTAGTGAACCTCGATTTTGACATTGACATCGAAAAAGGAGATTCCGCACTAAGTTGATAGCGCCGAAAACTCAAAGTCCAAAAACCCCGAGATAATGAGCTCACACTCATAACCAACAATCTGCAGCACAGCGATAATGGAAGAATTGAGACAAACTGCTCCCCAACACAGATCGGTAACTAAGCAAACAAGAGTGATCGGACGTCTTCGATCCCGCGACTACAAGTTATTCAACTTTGTGAGTCTACTCTAACCGTAAGCGCTTGGCCACCGTAGCATGCTGAACGCACTTGCTGGATTATGAAACATGGTGGTATCAATTCACGGCTGAAGTACGTGAAGGGGAAGAATTCTGTAACCTCGCCTAGAGGATTGTTCTGCAGCTATGAAATATAGCAGGTTCAGATCAGGGTTCGAAAATCCCTGGCGCTATGTATGTGTCTCTTTGCAAATCAACATCGAGCTGGACTTTCTCTCTTAAAGGCCAAGACCTAAACGCTTTCAGAGAAAGTAAGCTAAAAAGTTCAGCCTGAAATGTAACTCGTATCTGACTTACCAGCTCTACAATACACAGTCCATATCTCGCCGTCTGATTAGGCGTGTCGACGTGACCCCACCACCACCACCAACATGAGAGACTTATGGTTAGTTGGTTAGTTGGTTGTTGGCTCCCCCAACACGCCCATCCTTCCCTCTTCTTCCTCTCCTGACCACCCTCGCCATCATGGCTGTTTCTATAGCATTTGATTCTGAGACCAGTTGACAAACCCCCCTTTCCTCCAAAAAAGCCATCGAGCGAGGGGGGGGGACATTTATTGCTGTGATGAAACGGCGAATTTTTCTCTTCCGCCTATCCACCAACCCTCTAAAACCAATCTGAATTGTCTAAATCGCCTCACCACTAAACACATTACCTCAAACCCCCCTTCCCAAAATCCACCACAAATGCGACCCCTTCATTCGAATATTGCGAACCCACGGTTGACCCTGCTTCTAAAAGTGCAGCGAGGTTCACGTCAAAGCTATAGACGCACCTAATCAGACGGCGGGAGTCCATCGTGCTCTGTCAAATTTAAGAGTGGGACCAACCTTTCCCTCGTATTCCGACACATTCATCCATTTCATCGGTTCGATAAGATAGCCAAATTCGCACACCTGCAGTGTTAGATAAGATTGGGGCAACGAACTGTCACTAATCCTCGTCAAAAACCCGGAGTTCCTGATAACTCCTTCTGATAAAAAGTCACATGTCATCCCTGCTCACTCTCTATCCTGAACAAAACCATAATTGTGATGGCTCCGCAAAATGCTCACCTCGCCATCAGCACGTTTATGTTTCGTCAGATGCTCGCCAAAGAAAAGAATATGACGGCACTTCCCGCATCTTAAAGTATTTGCATTTGAAGATGGAAAACCGACACCATAAATAGCATCATGAAAGACGTCAATGCAATATTTGATGACATGAGGCGGTGTTGTTAGTTAGTAATGCTGAACATACAATTATTAACCAACCCGAAAAACATTGGCAAATATTGAAATGTCTCTTCAAAAATGAATGACAATGTTTTGCTATTTGGACTTTTCTTCAGATGAAAAGCAAAACAATATCAAGAAATTGTGAAAAGGTGAATATTAGTTTATCCATACAGCTGCTAGACGCTCAGCCTCCCCTCACACAATTTCGAGACTGGCAAGCAACTTGAGCAACCCGCTTGTTTCGCTATCTGCTGCCTCTTTGGAAGTCATCTGTGAGACTAACAATACAACGAGCTCATCAAATGTGTTGGCTACAACAACCCAGCATGGCTGGGTAGATGAGAGAGACTTTACGTGGCTTGGAGAAGGGCAGTCAAACTTCAGGAGGGAGTGGATTATAGTCGAACGAATTAAATCGCGCGGAGCCCCTGCGAATCGCCTAATCCATATGATTTGTTTTCCAGGCAGGGCTCACCCTAAAATTGCTTACCGGAATTCCGAGAAGGGAATTTTTGAGGAGCCCTATCCAGTAAACTTAAAGTTAATTAATATTCCGAGTTTACGTCAGTGTGTGACAATTCACACAAGAAAGCAATGCTCCTCAAGAGAAATCATGCAAGCGCCCCAACACCTCGAAATCGCGCACTGTTGCCTGAGGGTTTGACAGGAGCAGTCGACAACAGAAATGAGTACGCAATTTGCAAACGCGAATCGTAAGCAACTCAATCGCAGGCCATGAACGCGACCTGAGAGACATGGATTGTGCCAGAGATTATAGAGGTGTATCATGTAAAGGAACTAAGCTTCATCCCCATTTTCGTCGACTGTCAATAACAAGGGTACAAATTCGATAAAGAGTTTGCGAAGGCAGCGATTTCAACTATGCTGATGCGATGCAACAATAAATATGCTGCCATCATGCATGTGAAGTTCCCGGCATGCCAACGAAGTTGAAGAGTGCCATCGCCGAATTCGAAAAAAACTGAGATTTTAAGAGGCCCTCTGGCAGCCGCCCTACCCAATTACTTAACTAACACAGTTTTCTAGGTAACCTAAAGAAAACAAAATACGCTAGCCGATCCACCTATATGTTTGATCTTGATATCTTAACACAGCACGACAAGAAGTACTCTAACTCCAGTAGATAACCCCTAGTCAGCATCACTCAAAAACACCTACATGCAGTGTACTTGCGTCACCTAAAGACTACCGTAACTTCGGCTAAAGTGTTATTCGATGTCCCTGATTTTTGAAAATGACACTCGCTTTCACGGTGGCATCACCTGACGCCAATTGGCGTCACCTTGTTACGAACTTGTTTTCATCAAAATTCATTGTAAACTTCAGCATAGGGTTATTTGGTGCCCTGATTACGAAAATGTCAACCGTTTTTGGCATTAGCGTGATTCAACCCATGTTTCGCGATCTAGCCCAGCGGGAGGGCACAGACGAGCGGAAAATACTAGCGCTGAGAATGAACATTATATTCGTAATCGGGACACCCGAGTAACGCCTACATCATGGTGGAAATAAATTCCTGGCAAGGTGAAGGCAAAATTGGTCGCGTGGCGCCCCTACGTAAGAGAACTTCATCTTGGTTAGGCCGATGTCAGACTTTGCGAATCGCGCGATTCGCTAGCGTCCGCGGTCGCGTTGCGGTACCAGCCAATTGAGTGATTCACTGGCCGCGACGCGACCGCAGACGCTAGCGAATCGCGCGATTCGCAAAGTCTGACATCGGCCTAATCGCGCGCTACCGGCCATGCGACTAGGCGCTCTAGGCTTTTAAAGCTTGGCATGGGTTAGGGTTTATATACTGGGAACTAGGGTATTTGTTCTCAAAGAAAGTGACCCATAGACGGATGTGACACATGAGGTAGAATAACTTTTAGCTACCATTTTTCTATTTTGAAAATGCTCTGAATGGGAAAGGCAGCTTCAATTGGAGCAGTGCTATTTCTCGTGCAGGCATCTTTATAGAAGGGGAGTACTCACTTTTTTTGCGTTTAAAGCCGCTTCGTTCAACGATCTAACCAAAACAAAACGACAAAGACACATCCAGGAAAAATGAATGCCAACGACTTTGTTACCTGTATTTATTCCCTCGCTCTTTTGAACAATCGTCAGCATTAACCTCTTGATATAATGTAGCTGCTTGTGGCTGGGCACCTTAAGATGTTAAATTTTGCAGAAGAACGATAAAAATGGTAGACTACAACAGTCATATTCCTTCATTATTCACCATTGACAAACAATAGGCGACCACATTTTGCATATACATATGTACTAGAATTACGTCTTGGTTTCAGCTTCGATCCCCCAACTACGGTATTTTAGAGTAGGGTAAATATTCCTTGACTACGAGAGGAAGCAGGTTCCACCTAACAAGGGAGGTTCAATTGGCCAGTCCGAAATTTTGCATGATTATAATCGATAAGCTAGTCTTGAGACACTGGAGCTCACTGCTCCAGAAATCTACGGAAACGATTGCATGAGCTTAAGAAGCGGACAACGCAGCGGTAGTAGGCCTGCACTCACGGGACGAGGTGGTGGCGGAAGACAAAATACGTCTACGATAAAGGAAGGCAAGGTACCCGCTAACGATATGTGGCACGCGCCACGGCAAATAATAAGGCCCTGTTCACTTCCAGCGCACGTCTTCGAGGCCTGACTTCGGTCTTCGAATGACGTTTAACCGAAACCTAGCCATTGGGCAGAAGAAGGGCCAGAACACGGCATTTATAGGCGAGGATTCCAGCGAAGGGAGAGACGTTGACCGCCCATTATAAACTGGCAAAAAAATGGGCTACTCAGCGGGGTTTGGTGCCGTTCATTAGTCCTCCTGCAACGCTGCGTCGAATCATCTCAACCATCGGGTCCCGACATGAGGCCCGTCGCGGCGCGAAGAAGGGCAGGGTGCAAGGCAGTCGCAGTGTAGTGACTTGCGTCAAGTACCAATAGAAATGTATCATTGCATCGTTCTGCTTCGCAGCAGCATGCCGCTGGCGGCTCGTCCGCTGACTCTGCCTTCTTGCCGCGCGACGGGCCTCCTGTCAGGTACTCTCAACCATCTTCTGACCGCGAAGAAAATAAGCGTAAAGCCTAGCGTAAGTGCTACAATTGCGGTAAGCCATGCGCTTCTTGATCATGACCATCGAAAGCACCTTTCTGCTAAACAGACTAGGTTCACACGCATAAACCCTCACCATTGTGTGGAACATTGCCAGACGAAACACACCAATCTTTATACATACGACTTCCAGCTAAAGAGGGTCCGTCGATTTGGTAATGAAGTGATTCAAAGATTTGCAACTGAGCATAAAATCCTTGATTTGGGCTGAAAGAACATTCGGAAATTGAGTATTAGTGTGCAGAAAAAAATGTTGTAGAAGAAAACTGCTCACCATACTATCGGCCTTGATATCTTAACAAATTCGACAGCCTTTTCAGCTGAGTATCTTAAATTTCTGCATCACATAGGCAGCCACTATTGTTGCACTTCTTGACACGCCAATCTCGCTTAAACACGCGATTCAAAAATTACCACGAGGTTACGAAGTAGCTTAGCCGGGAACAAAAAAAGTAGAACAATTCTTGCAGAAGCCGTACAAAATCAGGCGCTATCGTAATATACGGGGGCGTTGTGGTAGCAATGCATTCAAAAATGCGTAAAACATGCTTCTTCGTTGAAAACGGAACTAAGCCTTGGACAGGGGAGGAGAGACTCCAGGGTGCGTGGCCATTTTTATTTTCTTCGGAGTTCCTCCCCCTCCTAGGCTTAGTCCTAAAGGATGCCCCGTATATTGCGATAGCGCCAAGTTTCATTAATCGAAGGACTGCGAACCCTACCAGTGAACCAGCACATCTCCGCCTGACTGCACAGCTCTCGTGATATAAGCTATCCCTTCCGCGATCTGCCCTCCACCAAGGAGATCCTGATTCGAGAGGTCCATCGCAAACAAAAAGTGATAATCAATGTTTGGAAGCCGTCGTTCCACTGGAATCGCAACGGCAGAGATGGTAAGCACATGGGTTATCTGCAATGCATTAGTGAACCCTTCAAAGAGACTCAGACCATGGTTAATGACTCATTTGAGAGACAAGTAAAAGAAGGCAATAAGTTTCTCCGAACACATTTTTGGAAGTATTGGTCGAATTAATTAAATCAAATTGTGCACTCATTTCGTTGGGGAGGACATTGAAGTGAGTGAGCCACTTAAAGGACCTTGGACTAACAATAAGCCTCACCTTAGGAAAGGCGAGAGATCCGGGGGTGGACGTGAGCAACATTTGTTCTACCTGGCATTTCTCCTCTCTTCTGGTATAGTCCTAGTTTCACCTACCGGTATTTTGATTGCCCTTTTTGAATATCCCCCCTATGGTCATGAGCGCCTTAAATTGGAACCAGATTAGTACAAGTTACCGCATCAAATACTCAAGGCCAAAATGCGATGCTGTCAATGAGCGGTGTAAAGTGTTCTATTACTGGAGCATCCATTGAAACTACTAAAACATTTTGCAATGTTCAAATTTCTTTTCAGCGAGCAAATTTCGCCATAAAAGCTTGCCAAATATCATGTTTTGGAAATGCTCAAAAAGTTTCTGCCTTCCCTGGGTCATAAAGCGAAATCAGCTACAGTAGCAAACGTCCCCTTTTGGTCGAAAGATGAGACGAAAGCTATAGCAAGGAAGCTAGATAATGCCACCACAGCCTTGGACCAAGGTTTCCTGCCTCTCAAGAGTTGCCTACCAGGCAACTCTGACTTCCTGGGTGTCCCCCAACAGGCCCACCGCGCGCGAAGCAAGAGACGCAGACGCGGCAAAGGGACGAGTCGCAGCGCATACTGTAGCGGTTAGGCGTCAGGTTAAAGAGAGTGTACCATACTACGTCTCATATCGCACAGCACGCGCTGCAACTCGTCTCTTTGCCGCATCTGCGTCTCTTGCTTCGCCGCGCGGTGGGCCTGTTGGGGGACACCCCATCTTCGGCGGCCTTCCGCGCAAAATTCATCCTAGGGTGACGTCAGCTACGCAATGACCTCATGCAAAGCGCCCTGCGATAGAATGGTGCTACACAATGGCCAAACTCAGCTCCTTACAAAACGAGCCAGCAAGTAGGGCTGTGTGTCTTAACCGATCTGAACACGACAGTGTCACAATGCCAACCTGCAGTAAAAATCCAGCTCTATTGAGTCAAATAGAAAAGTCCCATAGTTTGAGCGCTAATCGCAAATCACGAAAATTCTACTTTTGTATAGAAATGAACCTATCACTCACGCCATGTTTCAGAAGTGAATGGCCATCAAGCACTTCTCTGGCTCCAGACATGAAAACATGGTCTAATATTCTATCTATCATATCTGAAAGAAAAAACTTCGATTCATAACTTTGACAGCCATCATCTATCATATCATTTTATGGTAGCTGAAAAGGTAAACAGAAACGATTCAAAACTATACCTGGCAAAAACAACACACAGCAAAAGGAATACATGAGCGGGCTAGGAAACAAGCAAGAGTGCACCAGTTCAAAAAAGGCCATCATATCCAAGAAAGACAGACATTCCATGAGTTTTTTGTCCCTCTTAATTTTTTTCCAGCAGAAAGATTAACTTCCAATCTATCGTCTATTATCCTTATCCTTTCCCCCAAATACCTTCTACGCTCCGAACATACACATTCACATATTAGGTTGTCCCATAATTCTCGAGTGACCTTACATTTATTGCTTATTAAACATCTCAGAAAAATGAGGCTGTTTTGCGAAGTAGCATTCCACATTGTCCTACTTGAGCAATTACTCAGCCCATTTCCATGCTGCCTTCCGTGGCTGACATTTCAATTTTTCTGGAACCTATTTTTGAGCTCCCTTCTTAATCACTTCTGATTAAGATCTTTCAAACGCCCAACAATATAGAGAATCGACCAGCAGATAGGCGAGGGCACGCTCCCTCACTCCACGTCTCTTGTTTAGTTCATCCCCACCGAAGGTTGGCTTTTTTTAGTTAATATGACCACATCTCAATACCCTCAATCTGGCAAGTCTCCCCGCTATAATTCAGCGCCATTGCATGTGGATCATGGACTAAACTAGTCGCCATTGTGCTCGCAGGGCGTGTCCTGACTGTGATAAAATGATGAAATTACCTACGTGGCGTTTGTGAATTTTTTACAAATATTTACTTTTCACCTTGTGTGCTCTGAGCCCGAAACAGCTCCACACACGATCTGACATCATCATGTTCCTCTGATCTCTCCTTAGTTCCTTACAGTGATCATCCAGCATATTCACCAGGGTTCTGGACTGGGTGGAGTGTACTAGCAAATCTCCAAAAGCAGCAGCCTAGCATGAACGATTTGGGAGTTCTGACAGCAAAAGCCGAACCTCCCTTCTGAGTCGACACTTCGGATTATGCGCACGGTGATGCCAAGGCCAGCCAGTCATCTTGGTCACTGAAGAAGATGATAATGGTGACGCATTCAATTTGAAAGTAAAGCAAGACAAAGTCTGCTTTTTTCCTGAGGTCGTTCGACCCCACCTTGCGGAGAATATTCATAAAAAATTGGAGACTCTCAAGCTAGCCGATCTTTCACTTCCTCTGTGTGGCCCTATCCTCGTGCCAACAAAGGCAACTCAGTCTGACCTCTAGCGCTCTTCCCCAGGGAGGAATTTTACGCTAAGTGACATGACCTCAAACTCGACTTCCGATCTTTCTTCGATCAATAGCTCCTGGAATTCTAGAGATAAGACAGCCGACTGACCTTTTCTTTGTATACAAATACATTGTAGATACAGAGGTTGTATTTTGATGACAAGACTTCCACAAACAACGATAAAACATTGATTCAAACTACCCAATGATTACACTAACTTTTGGGACAACCTCATGAAATATATTTCAGTATGTGGCTGCACAAGGCTGAAACTTCAACTTCCGAGCCAACTCAGAATGAGAGCTCGGCAAAGCAATATGATGGTAAGTTTTCAAACACGATTTTGAAACATTTTTAATCATAGAGCATGCCCTAAAAATAATTGAAACTTTCAATGCAGTTTTAAGCAGTCCAAAGTTACAAATAAATTGTAAATTTTGTGGGGAATATTTTATGTTCCACATTATGCAAAGAATTTTAATTTCATAAATGTTGGGGTCAGAACAAAGAGGTAGTATAGTTTCCGTTTCGTAAGCGATGTTAGGCGCAAACCGGATGAATTGAGTGATGTAAAAAGAGATCTAACAGAAAGAAATCATAAATAACGAATCGTGATACAAAAACATCGTTTTTGCGCCTATGTCGCCACGGTGTCCCGGAAATCACGATTGAACGCGTGCTAATTCGCGATCTTTGCCACTATTCACCTTCAGAGCGACTCTTCCAAAAATTTCAGAAAAATTTTGCGGATATATTATGGAACGCCTCATTACGACGCGCACTTTACTGCCTACTTAACTGACGGTATCAGATAGATCAAGACGAATTCGTGTAAATTACCCGAAACACAAGTATCACAGAGCAATGGGGAACGGTAAAGTTGAAGCTTAAAATGAAAAGAAAAAACAATGTGAAAAACGAGAACGAATGTTCAAGGTGCGGAGTTCTTCAAAGCGAAGCCATTCATGACAGCTACGTATGACACTCTCGAAATAAAGATAACGAACAGTCGCATATAGAGACCTGTTGACTTGCGACGTAACATCAATGAGAAAACATAAACACTCCTGAACTACCTTTGTCTCATGCTCTTCTCATGATTGCCAGTTGAATAATATAATATATAAGAATATAATTAACACATTGACGACAACGCGAGTTTTGGCTTTTTTGGCCACGTGGGACCGCGGCGATTTTGCGGGCGCGCTCGCCTCAGGTCGTTCAAGCAGATTTTGAGTGATAAATACACAACTAATGATCAATTGAAAACCAAATCAGTAAATTGTAATGAGCGCAACCTAACCAGGGGTACAGTAGTGGAATTTTGATCGGAAAGACATGGAGTAACAATGAAAAAGTGGAATGGGCCAGAACTAGCTGCAATGGACCTCAAAAGCTATTTTTCGTTGATTATTCCAATCAAAACACACATATTGTCGTCGACCCAAGGTTACAATCAGCTCCTACAACTACTATTAAATCTTCAATCAATAAAAATGAAAGTAAACAAAATATTATTGCATACGAAGATTTTTGAATCCTCTAAATAAATTAAGAGTATACGTGACCATTCTAAGGGCCACTATGTTTGTAGCTACGTCAAGGTCTCTTCCATGGAATGAATACAAGAAACTTCTAAAAGAATCAGGCGTGCGCGAAAAAAATGAGTGTAATGGGTGCGGGGGATATATATCCCGCACGGTCCGACATGGCCTGCAATGCGCGGGATATATATCCCCCGTTGTCGTCAATGTGTTAAAAGAACAACCCAGGCAGAGGGTTTCGACTGCAACTGATAAAGATAAACAAAGTATTCAGGGTTGATCGATCTATTTCGGGATGTGTCATGCTTTCTATTTCAAATAATAATCATGGCAGCATTAAGATTGCGATCTGCGATATTTTTCCGCTAAAAACAGCATGAACATGCATTTTAAGGTCCAATAGGCTCCCTTTTGAACTAGCTAAATGAAACAATTTGCTAGTCGTTCAAACCTCCGGCTCGAAAAGGTGACAGGTGTAACGTGCTTTTCTGCTGTTGCAGCATACTCAGTTGGAAGAAGCCAGCGGCTCAGAAAATCTGCAGATATTATATGCACTTAATCGTTCACTGACGAGAACGGACTGTTGGAAGATGGGCGGGATGACTTATGGTTAGTGGCAAAGCGCAATCAGCTGACAGCAGCGCTGGTCAGCTAATGAGCCGTAGCTCATGCATTTACAGCTGGGCGCAGGAAATAGAATCAAAAAAGCTGCTGAAACTCATGGGACCCTTAATTTTAGCATATAGCGGAAGCTCAGATGACAAGCTGTCAAAACGTGAACAAAAGTAGAAAACTGCACACATTACTAGTAATTCTTGGTAGTGAGATACCACAGCGGCTCAAAATGATACAGTCCGGCACTTCTTGACAATTTAATAAAGGCTTCTAAGGCTATTTACTTCACTGGGGTGAAACTGCTTATACCGTGGATGTATTTTAGAAGAAAAGGGCAATAGTTTGACTTGTTTTGTTTGTTAACTGCTGTTTTTGGCCGCAGTTCGCTTGCGAATGTTTCACAAGAATGCTGGGTTGTGAACAAAACTTTCGCCCCAGGCGGGACTAGAACCCGCACCTCTCGCTTTCCGGGCAAGTTACGCTACCGGGGCACCATTTCATTCCAACTCAGCTTTTCATGGTATACGTACCATAACTTTGTATAAATTAATATATTATTATAATACCAGTTGGCGCCGCACGCATTGCGCGCACAACACAGATCTGCGGCGAATTTTGATGGTGCGACGAAAATTTTCAAATTTGGCTTGATACACCACGAATATCTGAATTCTCAGCTAAATTCTATCCGCTCCATCATCGACGGCTTTCAACCTCTTTTTCTTCGTCAACCATTATCCTCTTTTTCCCGGTCTCCGGACTGCTTCCGGACAATAAATCTCGTGGCAAACTCCGCCTACTTCGGTGCGTGCCCCGCCCACCAATAGCATTTGGCCCCCTTCCTTTCGCCGACCTCTACCCCTTTTTCACCGGTCTCTGGGACCTCTTGGAACCAAATTACGACACTTTTGGCAAACTCCGCCCACTTAGGTGCGTGCTCCGCCCACTAATAGCAGTTGACCTTTTTCCTTCGCCAACCTCTACTCCCTTTTTCCCAGCCTCCTGGACTTCTTGGAGCCGAGTTATGAATTTTCGTCGCAAACTCCGCCCACTTTGGTCAAGCCCCGCCCACCGATGACAGCTGGCCTCCACTCCTCCACCCACCTCCATCCACCTTTTTCCCGGCCTCCGGGACTTCTTGGAGCCGAGTTATGAATTTTCGTCGCAAACTCCGCCCACTTTGGTCAAGCCCCGCCCACCATGACAGCTGGCCTCCACTCCTCCACCCACCTCTATCCACCTTTTTCCGGCTCTTTAAGACTTCCCCGGCCCGAATTATGAGGACTTGTAGAAAATGCTGTACACTTCAGAGCGCGCTCCGCCCACGTCATGTATGCGGGAAAACCTTAGACTTGCTCACCTTAAACCAGCTGTAGGCTTTCTCCCAACCGAGTTATGAAATTTTTCATAAAGCACTGCTTTTTTAGAGAACGCCCCGCCCACCGGGGGTGGGTCTCCCTAATTCGATGTGACTTACCAATGCACACCTTTACCCCACTTTTTGGCCCAGTTTCGAGGTTGTTTTGTCACTGAAATCGAAATCTTG